CCTACACACACACACGTGGAGTTAGGGCTTGCTGAAAACCATTCTGTCCTTCTTTAGAGGTTGTGATAATCCTTTAGTACATCCCATAAGTGTGTTTAAATAAGATGATGCTAATTCAGGCTAACAATTGTTAAGCAATAACATAATACCTATTTTTGCCTTATGAACTCTGGTAATTTATCAACTAAGATGACAAAATAACTATGAAAATTATGAGTCAAAGGCGCTGGTTTGGGACACCTACAGATTCCAGACACAGCATGGCGAACGGCTCCCTGGTTGACCAAAGACTTCCCTGTTCAGTGCTGCCTCCCTCCAGGCAGCTTCCATAAATGCACACTCCAATGTTCCTGTATCTGTGTCCCAGGCCAACAGAAATTATGAGGTAACAGATCTCCAAGCTGTTCTCACTATCAGAATAATTCATTCATCTCCTCTTAGATTCTACACTCAATTTCTTAGTCTCTAGCTATTTGCTTGTGACTGTAAAATTTTACCTCACTTCATCTTTGACAATAATGCCTCTACATTTACAATTTATTGGTGGTCCAAACACATCTGGCAAACCTCATGGCACTCATTCTTCAGTCCCTAACCCTATGGCGTCCAAGCAAGCTTTTTGCAGCAGGACCAGCTGTAGAACAGGAACCAGTATGACTCCCATGGAATCGCAGAGTAATGGAGGGAAAATGGGGGGGATATGGGAAAGATGTAATCCAGCTGTATCTCTAGATTACACAACTGGTAAAGAGCAGGAAGAATCATTTTGGGGAAATGGAAAATATCTAAACTCAAGAGTTTATTTTAAACAATTTTACCAATTAAGAATAGGAAGAACATCACCTCTGTTGCCGTGCTGTGGTCCATATAGGAAAGATCAGAACTACTACAACTGGTACAAGAAACAAAGAATGAGTTCTCATGTGTGCCTGTTAATGAAAGTTGCTTCTACTTTAAGATCACCTTCTGTTAAAGAGAAAGCAGGCGCACAGATAAATCCCTGTTTGCCTCGGTAAGCACCTCACATCTGGTGGGCAGCATGAGGAAAGGACATGTAGTGCCAGCAATATTTCACAGTATTCCTTGTAAAAGGACCCTAACAAAAAACATAGTAAAGGAAAAGATACACACCTGCAGGGTCAAAAGGCAGAATTTCTCCCAACATCCCAAATGCTCCATCAGTTTGGTCACGATTTGGCCATGTGTTGTTTCTAGGTCCTTGTGGTTTCTGTCCTAACATCTCTGACATCATATTGTCCATATAGCTGCTCACAAGCCCCAAGCTGTACAAATCAGAGCTTAAATCTGAAAACCCAGGATTGTTCCACTGATTTAGATGAGACAATCCAGCTCCAACAGCCTGGGCTTGCTGCTGTGAAGAATTACTAAGCCATTTGGCAGGTACACGTTGCTGTGGTCCAATATGTTGAAGCAAGTGTTGGTAATACTGCATTTGCTGCTGCTGCTTTTGGGACTGCGGCAGCTGTGACAGGCCTTGCTGAGGAGGGTGCAGTGGTGTGTGGGACACAGACTGCAGCTGCTGCTGTACTGCTCCTGACTTCTGCTCTGCTGCTGTAGAGGATGCAACAGAATTCCTTCTTTTCACCATCGGAGAAGTCTGCTGGGATTTGCCCATGTTAAAACCAGACAAGAAGTCTATAACGTCCTGCATTTCTTGGTCAGTCGGTAAATTCATACCTTTGTCGTCCTTGCTATCGTCTGGTTTGAAGAAGCTGTCCCTCCTCTCCAGCAGGAGCCCGTTGACCAGCTGGCTGGCTGTGCTCTGCGCCGCCTGCAGCGGCTCCGCGGCGCGCGGGAAGTGACCGACGCTCAGGATGCTCTGCAGCCGCGCATCCACGTTCGTGGGCAGCTTGGCCTTCTCCTCCGAGCTGGAACTTATGAAGACATTTTTGGAAGGCGTACTGGGGATGGAGTAACTTCCAGTGTTACTTGTACTGGTGCAGGAAGTTTTTTTTGTAAACCGTGAGGTCAGTTTGGAGAATGTCTTTTGCAGCCCCCCTGAAGATTTGCCTCCGTTCCCCGATGGCATGTCCACTTGGCTCCCAAAGTCTGAGATCTCACGCTGCAACTGAATCTGGATACAAGGCAGAGCCTGCTCCCTGCATCAACAAAAACAGAGGTATCAAACCACCCAGTGCATAACTGAGTTTGTACTTTGGAGGAAAATGTGTATTTGAACGATAGCTAGAGAAAGAAACAACACCAGAGTGCCAAGTTCATCAGCTACTCCTTATGGTGACAATGTAAATTATCAGTACTTGCAACAGTACTAACTACTTTCCATTCCTTAAGAAATTTTAATTCTGCTTCAAGACCTAAATGGAGACTAATTTAATATAAATCAGGTCTTTCTGTGAGAGAGAAATACTTCTGTACCCTCGGATAAGCTGCTGGTTTGGTTCTAAGCAGCCTGCTGTGTCTGTGGATGTACCCAACAAGGTACGTCCTATGGGCACTGCCAATGTCCTGCTCTCAGTTTGGCTCCTGTTTTCCCCTTCTGATGAGCTGCTACTATCAAATCCCTCAGCACAGACCATCCAACAATGACAGCTTTGTTTAAACTAGGAAAGTGGAGCGTGAGGCTCAAGAGACGTACCTTCCTTCCTTCCACCTGTGTATATCAAACACAGCAGTATAGAGCACATCCACTAGCCCCAAAGTCTTCTCTGGATCCAGACTCCGCTGTAGCAAAGACATTGTTGCTGGATCTTCTTTCAGACACCTGTAATCATTAATTTTATATTAAAAATCAAAATATGATTTTTTTTAACATTAAACAATTCTACTCTATCAGTCAGAAAACAGAAGGCCAATTGCTGCACTCCTACTCCTGCAGGAGTGTGAGTGCCTGGGGGTTCCCGGGCCTGCAGCCGAAGAGTTCTTCCTACTGTGGGACATACAGCTCATCTGCCTGGGACGTTCAGTGATGTCACGGATTTAAGTCATGACCGACGGTTAGGTCTGAACTGGCACAGTTCAGACACAGCAGGGAGAAACGCCGAACACACACCGCCCATCCCCGCGCACGGGTGCGAGGGATGCTCTGAGCCC